CGGCCACATCCCAGTGAGGGCTGCAGCACGGTGCTGGGAAGGATGGAGCTGCGGGGAGGCAAGGGGATGGCCAGCTGGGAAGGGGGACTTGGCGGGGAGGAAGGGGCTGCCCGCAGAGCCCCCGCGTGGGGAGGCTGAAGGTGGACAAGCTGCTCTGGGGGCGTGGGGCAGGCGGGGAGGATGGTGAGGGTGTGAAGCAGCGAGCAATGGGTGCTGCGCAGGCTCCAAACGCCGCAGCGGTGGCTCCATCCTTGCTCCTCTCCTGGTGCCCAGGGGCCATTCCCTGGGCCAGGGTGGCCGAGTGACCAGCAGGCTGCCTGTCCCCTGCTCCCCGCTGGGCCTGGCTGCCAGCTGGGTGTCCCCAGCACCCCAGCCATTGCACGGCCAAGGGGACAAACACCAAACTCGGCTGGACCCCGGGCAGCGCCTGCTCCGGATCTGCCCTGCCCTCCACCCCCGGAACGGCTGGGAGTGCTGGCACCATGGGGGCTCCCGCTCCCCCCTCCACAGGCATGGGATGCTCTTCCAGCTGCTCCCCCACAGTGCAAACCGAGATGGGGGGAGACAAAGCCAAAACCTGAGGGGCCATCGCTCACGGCGAGGACCAAAATCACCCGGTGGCTGCTCCTCGCCGAGCCCGGGGCGATGCTCCCGCCAGGCTCCCCCCAGCTCCAGGCCAACTCGGCTCCCGTCCTCCGCTGGCTGCCAGCAAAGATCTGCTGGAAACAATTAATATATGTAGATTGTTTATTGATTCCAACATATTAATAGATTGGATAATAAACAGTACTTTTAAACATTCTCTTAACCAAAAATATAACAAATATTTACAATCACTCAGTAAAAATACAAAAAGCATACAGAGGCACTGTCTTTCTAAAAGACATAAGTGTAAGAGGTATCAAAAAATAGGAGACAAACATTGCTTGTTACAGAATACTTTACAATCACTGACTTGTGCAGTACAATTGCTATTGGAATATCATTACATCTGTGCAGTTTTGCCAATATGCTCACATATTTAGAATTTAATTAATAACAAGCTAAACTGCATTCCAGGTATATCAAAAATAAAGATAAAACAATAAAAAGCACAACATAAGCAAAAGCCGGGTTGGGAATTCAAGGTAGATTACCCTCTACGCAAGCGTTCTACAATATAATGTGTAAAGCTTTTCTAAAGAGAGAGTATCCCTTTTTTCTTCTGTTTTTGCCAAGGCAGTGGTGAGTTTATCCCCTAAAAAAAAAAAAACCACCAAAAAACCCAAATCCTAATTCTAATGTTTTATAAAATAAGTGGCAGGTTCGTACTTCCACTGTTGCCTGCGATGAAATGACTTGGGGGATGATGGAGGGGAGGGTTTGCAGCACCACTGATGCCACGCAGGCCCCCTCTGCAAGCACCATCGCCCCCAGGGAAGCATCTCTCGGCTCTGGGAAAGTCCTGACGCGAGCAAAGGCAAAGCAAAGGAGGCAGGAACGCGACACGCTGCGCTGTCAGCAACCACCGCCCGCTCCCGCACGCACGCCCTGCAAAAAAATACCTGCAGACATCGCCTTTCCGCTGCTTGTGTGTGTGGGAGATGAAACCTCGGAGGCTCAGGCATCTCATTTTCCCCTTTCTGCAGCTGGAGAGGCCAATTAAAGTCTACAACACCGCACCGCTTCATCGGGAACTACTTGGAAGTTTGAGATTTATAAAGCGCAATGAAATACTGCATGGTTAAATGGCAAATAGCTGAAACAGATCTTCTGCCTGCAAGTCAAGGGCAAACAAACAGCGGAAACCAGCAGGGGAAGAACGTGACGCGAAGCACTTCAGCTGTTCATCAAAATCAGACCCCAGGCCAGAGGAACCCGGTGGAGGTGCCCACTCAGGAATCTGTGATGCAGAAGGCATCACTTTGGCAAAGCAGTGCACCACAGGTACTAATCGCCACCTTACTTCCATCTGAATGACTGAAAAAAGGGATAGTGTCTCTTCAAATCCACACCCGACACACTACATCTGGCTATCGGCCCCGATCAATGTGATCGGTTGATTTAAAAACAAACAAACAAACAAAAACCCCAGCAAGGACCAGCAGAGGCAAGCCACACGGCGCGAGGCGGGAGAAGCAGAGGCAGTAGCTCATTTGTCCATAGTTTATGCGGGGTTTATTTACACCAGCTGTATTGGATATTAGGAAAATACGATTAGCAAGACTTCCGCTCACTTTAAAAACTTTCCAGCGTCCCGAAAAGCCCTGCGGAACAGACGGATGCTGTTGATGTGCAAACACCACGATTCGGTGGGTGATTTATTCAACTGCTCTTTCTGGCTGCCAGAGGAGACCCCAACCCCACTCCCCAGAGGAGCTTTACCGTATCCTCAGAGACGGCATTATCGGGTTTTGGGGGGAAAAGGACGTCACTTCCAGCCCCCCAACCCTTACGCTGCTGTTCAACAGGCTGAAATAAACTACAGCTCAACACCCGAGGTCAGGGGAACCGTATGATTTCATTTACCTGGCGCAGCGCAGATGATTTTCTGACGAGACACCAAGCCCGCTGCGCGCTCCACGAGGAAGGTAACAAGCAACTACTGTTGATGGTGGGATTGGTAGGACTTGGATTTGGATCCCACAGAAGTTATCAACTGAACAGTTATGAACATTACCTGTGCTGAAAATAATCGCTCTGCCCTGCACTGCTTTGACACTTAGGTTCATCTTCATTCATTAAGGCCTGTGCAGGTTCATTATTTTCATTAAGGCCTCAAAAAAGCAAAACGCCTTTATTAATATATACCTCAACTGATTTTCAGTATATTTTTTTCAACCATTTGCTCCTCAGATACTTGTGCCATAAATTCAGAGAGCCAACCGATCCGTTATGAATTAGGCATCCCTTCCTCAGCATCATTTTTGTCTTCCAAATTCCAATCGGTATGGGCGAGTTCCAGCCACGCGGCGACATTGAACCTGGCACCGCGACGAACGCAGACACATTCGCCCGGTAGCATCAGTCCCGAGCTGCTATGGGGAAAGCACATCAAAGGCTTTGGGTTGGTTTTGGTACTTGTGTCATTCTCAGGAAATGTTGCGTTCACCTTGCACCCCTGCACACGTACAGAAGAAAAACCCAACCTTAAAGCTCTTCACGACTATGGATATAGAAATTATTTCTGAGGCACTGTAAAAATGACAAACACCTTCTCTCTAGCTTAGGCTGTAAACATCACAACAAAGATTTACAATTAAATGTTTAAATACATATTCACACATTCATCTCCAATTTTAACACTAGAAGGGGGCATCGTGTGCTAGAAGAAAGAAAGAAAGAAAGAAAGAAAGAAAGAAAGAAAGAAAGAAAGAAAGAAACTGCAGGTATTTCCAGTTTTACCCCTCTGCGCTCTGGCTGGCTAAGCAAAATCAAACAAGCAATTTCTCTGCCCATAGTCAAACCAGAGGATCACACGTTAATACCGGCTGGCTGTACGGCAAAATCGTCACTGGCGTTCAGTAACACCAGGATTTTTCCCTAGGATTTAAAACAAAGTGTTTTGAGATCATCTGTATGTTCCAGATGAACACAACAGGGTTTTTTAACCCATCCTAAAATGCATGATACTCTCCTATACGCATTACATAATTTAATATTCAGTTTCACAAATTTTCCTGTGAAATGAAGGCAATTATTATAATTTTTTTATTTTTTTTTTTTTTAAAGATAACCTTTGCCGGCTAATCCTCTGCACCTCTGGTAAAAGGCCAGAACGTGTGGGATGATCTTAAAGCCCACAACACACGGTTTAGTTTTGGGTTCCAGCAACACGCTTTGCATGCTGAACTCTGCAGGGCAAAACCTGGTTCCAGCTCTTTTGGGAAAGCTTCAAACTCCCCTACGGCTCCCTGCCAGCTACGGCTTCCACATTTCAAACGATTACTTAATCGGGGAGGAGAGCACCAACTATTGCCTTAGTTGGCTGGCAGCTAAAAAATTTCCAAAAATACTTCAAGGGAGGAGGGTTTCTGCTTGTGTCCGTGTAGGAGGGGAGCGGCAGACGGCGGGGCTGCCCGCCCGATGCACGCCGCTCTGCGGGGCTTTGTGCTCTGTTCCTGTTTAATCTAAAACCACTCTAAAATCCATGCATTTCTGCACCTGATAATGTCCTGTTTCTAGTTTTCTGTGTTTCTGCCGAGAGCACGAGAGTTTATGTGTAGCTAACTTACTATCACATTGACTAAACGTTTATATTAGCCAACCAGAGCACTCCCAACACAAATAGAGGAAATTCCCATTTAAAAAAAAAATTAAATTAATAAATTATTTTCAGATACTTCAGCAATGTCCTTCGCTTTTGCTGACATTTTGATATATTTTTTTTTTTTTAAAGTTCATAAAATAACACTCTTAGACTTATAATGGTCGTGTAGAAAATAACGACGATGGAAAACTACCAAAGGATTATATGGTATCATACAGAAGAATGCTTCTCAGTTTCAAGTGGTGGTGACAACTGGTCCTCCCAAATGCACGAAGCCTGGTCCATCTCCAGATACCGATGTCGGTATCCAGGCAGTCACTACGCTCCTTGAAAAGGGTTTTCTATTTCACAGGCAGAAATAGCTTTCCTAGGCGGTGGCAGACTGAAGTAAGGTAGAGAGACGTGATCCAACCCGTTCCATCTCGTCCGCGACAGAGGCAAACACAACGTCTGAGGTTAGTAGCAGCAAGTTGTTAGCGTTGGCTAACAGAATCACGTGGCCCTTCTCCCCGCATCCCTTGTGTTGTGGTTTACACAAACAGCCCAACGGTTAGACTGCCGATACTTGTTCATCTTCTGCAAAACAAAAACAAAAGAAAAAAGAAAAGAAGAGAGCGAATTATTCCATCGGTCCCCTGCCTTGGACGCAGAGGGTACAGAACAGCACCCAGTTACTTGATCACAGTGGTTCTGTGAAGACTTCACTGCTTCACCGTGATGTTTTCACTGTCTTAATGATTGACCACAATGTATTCAACGTCACCATTTAACAAATCCTCAGGTAGTCCGAGGTATTGTATCATACAGTAAAGGTGAATTGGAAAAACAGAAAATCCCAGATCCTCCAAAAATTATTGGCATGCAGCTCCCAATATCCCAAAAGCTACCAATTTGGGAGAAAAGCCAGTAAATCCCTTTCCAACATGCAGCGAGTGTTGTATCCCAAATAAAATTAACCAGGCACTTTAAAAATAGTAACAGAGGTGTATCTAACAGTGTATGGTTAAATTTAGTTTCGAAATATTCATATTCAAATGTTTGAAGCAATTACTTCCTTATTTTTACATCAAAACCATTTAATATCACAACTGAATTAATGCTGGGCAACTCTACGTTTTACTGTAAGTTTGAATTGCAGTACTAATATATATGTTAAATACTGTTTCCATATTTTAAAGGACCAAGATAGGATCATTCTGCATCAGAAATTGTTTCAATCTACATCCACGCTCATTTTAAGCCAGACTGAAATCACATTCTAATAAATAAAAAAAATGAGTTCACTAGCAAAGGGTACAGAGAGATCCCATCAGAGCATGGGTACTGAAAGCAAATCAGCGGATAAACAATTAAGTAGAAATTCCCCTAATGAAGTCAGTTTTGACACAATATAAGAGCAGTCTTTTTCAGAAAAATCTCTTGCATTTTGGTCACCCGAAACATGCCGTGCTCGGCAGCATTGGCGGTTGCTTCAAACAAGATCGTGAAGAATTTAACTGGGAGAGACACTGTCAGGCCAAGCCGGGCTGAGAAGTCAGGTTTTATTAAATGCACTTTTCAGAAGAACAGAAATTCACTGTTATTCTGTTTGACATTTTTAAACCCCATCTTCAGAAATCTCTGCTGAGGAGTAAGGCAGCTCAACGCCAGCACGTGAGAATACAAATGCAACACGCGTTAAGAGTTGTAAAACACCCCAACACCAAATCCCAATTCAAAATACTCGTTCTAGGTCATCACCCTGACGCCACCCTAAACCAGCGGGACATCAGTTCATCGACCCAGCGAGGCTGGAGTTTTTCTGCATGTAATTTATAGCCTGACAGTGTCCCTTAGAGTCATCATCACCACTGAGAGGGGGCAGATTTTAAAGAAAAAAAAAATAGTATCTACATGCTCTTAAGTGTCTCAGTTGTGCTTTGGGAGATCTCATACACATATATTTATATATATTTATTTATATATAATTTAAAGTCTGTTTGCTTTCAGCATGCTTCTTCTAAAGGGAAGGCATTCTTTTTTTTTTTTTTTTTTTTTACGGTGTATATACATGCATACATCTCTGCATGTGTATACAGCCATACAAACGTATTTGTATATTTAGAGATTAATCAAGTTTTAATCTCCAAGAATGACCAAGAGAAAGCCCAGAACATCGTTGTGAAGTAAACACTGCACAGACCAGATTCACACAGCAGTTCACTTAACATCTACCGAGTCAGGTGTTGCACATACCATCCTCTTCACTATCTGCGTCAGCCATATCTGCTAGCTTGGGGTTGGACGGCTGCCGACTATGCCACTGAGGCATCTTCGATGAAATACAGGCCACCGGTTCACTACCGAGAGAAGCTGATGAAAGTCTAGAGAGGTCACTGTGCAGCATCTTTGACCTCTGCACTGCCACACTATAGTCTGGAGGTTTTAGGTGTGGGTGGTGGGGCGATCCTTCCTTTATGTCCGCTAAAGAAATCCCCATATATCCCGGAGGGGTGGGCGGTGGCTCCCTATACCTATCGTCCTTCTTAGGTGAGGTGACACAGTACACTGGCACAAGAAATAAGCAATGGAAATGTTAAAGAAGAAAACAAAGGAAACAAAACGTTAAAAAATCATGAAATGTTACAATGGCAAAACAGAAACTGATAACAAAATGCAAATGCAGAAACACTGGTTATAACGACAGCAGCAGATATTTATGCTTTCATTCACGTTTTCTACTTATTTTAAGAAGTCAGAGTAGCAACAGACCCCCTGAACTCGTTAGGCAAGATGCCAATCGAGCAGGAACAGGACTATAACCATCTCTACGTTCAGCTTGGAATTGCAGAGCTCGTTCTACTCCCTACTCCTGCGGCACCGCGGGATGCTACGGAGCTCTGCGGTACGGATGGAGAGCCAGCACGGCAATGCTGCCGGCTGAGCCTGCTCTGTTACAGGCTGGGAAATGGAAACAAGAGAAACTAAGGCAACTAGCCCAAAGTTACTTTACACAGTGTGCTAGAGACTGATAGCAAGAACTGTTGGTTGACTTCAACAACATCTACTTCATCACCCATCAGTGGCTTAACAGAAATTCATTATAGTAAATATCTTGTATCAACTCACGTGTAATAAGACATTAAACCATCCAATCAGCTATGCTATAGGAAGAAAATACCCCTGGTATCACATGAAACTGCTCCTATGAGGCAGTATATCTATGTCTATAGAGCCTGCATTCATTATTTTGCATTTTCTCGTAGTAAATGATTGCTTATCATGCCCGTATCATGTCCGGCAGTTCCGGTCACACAGGCTCTTAAACCAAAGAACCTTTTTTAAGTTCCCTCCCCTCCCACCCACCCCCCGGTCTGGGGCTCATGTGCATGTTAAATTGTGCTTTTTCCACGTACATGTTGCAACAGGAGAGTTTCAAAGCTAGGGTAATTTTTTAAATCTATTAGTTGAGTGGATTTGCATTCTTCTTGTGGATACATTTTAAACAGTGCATGTTCATTACCGTTTCATTTTTTTAGCAACTGCAATGTTATCTTCTAAGACGGTGAAAAGGTGAAAATGAAGGAGTATTTCTTATAGTGTCGTCGACTTGTGAGATTCTGGGTGTTGGTATCAGGAACAAGAGCTGGCTCAGCTCAACCTGATGGCCTCGGTTTGTGCTTGGGCTTATAGGAAAATAAAGAAAACTGAATGCACATAGTCTGGGTTTTAGCACGTACAGGTGGGTACGGGCAGAGGCTTCTACTGCTCATTTATACACATTGTTTTCATTGAACCAGCATTTAACTGGGCCCCTACGAGAAAGCAGGGGAAGCAGCGGAGGCTTTCTTCTCCCTAAAGGGCTGGGTTCTCCCCGAGCAAATCTCCTACCTTTGGTCTTCGCTGGTTTTGCAGGAGGGCTGGCGAGGGTGGGTATTTTCTCCTTTAAAGGAGAAAGCTTCAGGCTTCCTAGAGCTAATATCTAGCCTACTGCAATTACGAAAACAGGAATAATGTGCCCTTTTGTAAAGTTCCAAATTCATAATACTTACAAATTCTATCAAAATAAAACATTCTGAGCATTTAAAGTCCACAGCATTAAGTGTCCATAATTTCTGTCACCCATCCACAGCTGCAGGAGGTTACAAAACCCCTTCACAAGGAACCATCCTTCCCAAGCAGCTGATTGCTCAAATACTCAACCTTGTTAAGAAAATAGGGTGAAATTCCACACAGTGGATAAGGGAAACCTAATGAAAAGGCAGCAATATAAATTTTGATGTCTACTACCGGTAAAAGCAACAGAAACGCTTTTCCCTTTGGATGTGCAGCAATGGCACATCACCATTCCACACCTCCTCTGCTGGTAAAGCAAAGGCTGCAGCAAGAAACGTTCGATGCTGCAGAGGGTAGAGATGCGGGTGAAGTTACGAAGCCATCGCGTTTATGGATTCTGCCAAGACCACATTCTGCCAGCAGTGTGTGGGCAGTGCCTTTCCAGCTCTGTTTGAAAGGTTTCAGGCCAGAAAGCTTGTGCCAGTCCTTTTGGAGGACTATCCAACACCAGCACTCCTTAAGCAAACAAACTGAAAATTCTTCTTTTGTTTACAATATTTTGAACTCACGCAGTCATTACAGAATCTGGCAACAAGCTGCTGGTAGAGAATAAGCAAATGGTGAAATAAAGTGAAAATATCTTGGGCGTATTGTATGATAATGAATAGTTAACAGATTTGCATTTGCAAACCAGAAGTTATATCCACCTGTAGCAGATCTTTGCTGAAGCAGACACACGCATGCTCTACCAGAGCACGGTGCTGAGCGTTTCTCACCAGCGCGCTATGCCTGCACCAGGAGGCGAGCTGTGTGGTGCGGAACGCAAACAGAATTAGAAAGAAGGGGCAGAGCTGTGAGCAAAGACAGCACGCCTTGAATAGCTAACGTGCCATCTCCTAAAACAGCTCAGAGGCTCACGAGCGGCTTTGAAAGGCTACAGGGGCAGAGCACGTGCACAGGAGCGAGCTGTGAGCAAGTTTTCTGCAAGGCTCCACCATGCTGCCTTTCTTCTACAAAGCCAAGGAGGAGGAACGCAATTCCAAGACCTCCACCCTACGTGCGATGTTTATTCAGGCAATTACCTTTGATAACATAAACGCCTCTGGCAATCTAGTCAGTAATTAAATTGCTTTTCAGCTGCACCCTTGACTTACAGTCTAGAAAGCTCTGCGCTCCACGTTTTATCTTGTTCCGAACCAGTTCCTTTGGTTTTGGCTGCTAAACTCACTAGGACAGCGAAAGAACATCTTGCTTGGTAGAACTACGCATCTTTGAAAAGACATTTTATAAGTTTTTCTCCTTTCATATGTAGCCAAACTGCAGTTGTCTAACTGAATAAATGGCAATTTTAACACAGCAAAGATAGGAAGGGCATCTCCTTTGCCCTTGAGCTTCCAGAGGCCAAAGCCCTGTGGATGAAAGGTGCCCCAGCTCCAGAGAGGTGGGAGAGCTCTGTACCACACAGCAGTCATGCTCTTCCCCCTCGGCTTCACAGAAAGCCTGTATTGTACGGACTTCAAGAAGCCACGCTCGCTGCTCCTTGCCAGAGGAACACCTACAGCGATGAGCATTTCCAAAATTGTCCAAAAAAATAACAGGTCATACCACTGAGAGGAACTGCCTGATGTTTTCACGGAGACAGCTCTCCTGCAGACCTGTACAGTGATTGGGAAGTGTGCTAGTTTATTATTTCAATTTTCCTAATGCAAAAGAAGGTGGCTTGAGAACACACTGTGTAGCGTTTGGATTAAAAACACGTGTAAAGCTGAATTTAACATGCCAGCCAGCCCCCAGACCTGCTGACGTCATTTCTTAACAACTTGATAGCAAAATGACAAACAGATGTAGAAGCTTCCATAAGCTGTTGGCTTGGCTTACCTATCAGGCCTTTTTCTGTACTCGAAGTAACAGTTTTGTAAGTTGTATCAGCGCCTGGTTTAGAGTCCAAAACCTCCGTCTGCTCTGCTGTAGAGTTCTCCAGCCCCCTCCGCTTAATTGTCCCATAGTTTGTTTCATAGGTGTCTGACAGCGAGCTGGAGGAGGCCCAGCTCTGCCGAGACTGATCAAGCTCCACACTGGCTTTCGACTGCCTGTTAGCTTTGGAAAAGGCTTCAGAATACAAATAAGCCTCCTCAGAGTAACAGTTTGTGGGATCGACTTCGGCTATAGGTCCGTCCAGCTGGGTGTGACGGTAAGAATTGAGGAGGTCCCAGCTCTTCTGGTTTGGGATATTCTGGAAGTTGTCATGAGAACTACTTGAGCATGAAGTCCAGCTTCCCCGGCCGCTATCTGCAGCCTCTACCGTGATATGTTCATGGGAGATCTCCTCGTTGCTCATGGAGGATGTGAAAGCCATCCCTCTGATGAGAGCAGGCCTGGTGATTGACCAGCTACATTTGAAAACAACAGAAAGCAGAAAAAAACCCCTCGTAAGCGTTTGAGGTAAAAGTGACGGATTCAGAGACAATTATCTGGCTTTAAAGGCAACTGATCTCTGGTTTTAAAACAGGTACACAGCAAGGTCAAGGCACACGGGAGCACTGACGAGGGACACCGTTATTCCCAACTCACTACTGCACGTGGAAGCTGGGCAGTTATCCCCAAGGGAATAACAAGTCTGCAACAGGCATTTACAGGTTTGATCCCAGATCCATAAAAATCTGGTCCACAGCAGCTTTCCTCTATCAACCACAGCAAGACAGTGCCGGACAGAAAGCAGAGGAGTAATCACCTCTTAGGTTTAGGCTATTACCACCTTTTTCTTTGCATTTATAAATTAAAACCAAAATACATGTTTAGAATAAAACCCAACCCCTTCAGTGGAGGCAACATAAAGTTGTTTAGACAGAGTGGAGGTAGTCGTATTTCAAGAACATTTGGAAATATTGGGCATAAAACATCTGAGGACACAATCTGGAGTGAGATTCTGAAACCCAAGCACAAAAGATCTTGTTTAAAGAAACGGCTGCTAAAAGCTCTGATCGCTGTCAATACATAATTAAGGGGAAAAAAAATAAAGCCAGGTTTGCATGAATTTAGAATACATGAAATTACAATTGCTAGATATTTTTCAAGTCTCTTAACTATTTCTGGACAGCACAACATTAAAATTCAACACTATCCCTCAGCAGTTTACTGACACGTGAAATCGAGGAATGTTTCTTAGATACATGCAAACCACTTCTTTTTTCCTTGCTTTTCTGTTTTATAAATTCTAGTGTGAAAACTGCTTTCTTCCCTTCAGAATGCACTGAAGCCAAGGCGTAAAGAAACAACCATAAACCACGAAGAATCTGCTTTTAATTTGCAAAGAAAATGGTGAGTTTAGACACAGAAGCATCATTGCTGCAATTCGCCGTGCTTCAGCCACCCCTGAAGTGGCTTTTCACAGCCGGTACCAAAGGGAACCCCACAGTAACCTGCTCCCACAGGATATTTTGCTCAGTACACCGAGACTGTTCTGACTAAACATGTTCTCAGCACGTGCTATGCCTTTTAGAAAAGGGAATTATTTTGGTTTATGAAGCACACCTTTAAATTCCCATTTTAGCAGGATGAAATAAACCACATCACTTATTTCTGAAGAGCTACATCACTAGAGCAAAGCATATGCTGAAAAGTTTTTTGGTTTTTTGTTGGTTTTTTTTTTTTTTTGCATCACTAGAGCAAAGCATACGCTGAAAAGTTTTTTGGTTTTTTGGGGTTTTTTTTGTTTTTTTTTTTTTTTAGAGGGGACAGAACACCAACGAATTAAAATCGAAAATAAAGAAACAGCATATCTCTCTTTACAGAGTTCAGTCATTAAAAAAAATAACATTGCTTTAGAGATGAGCTGTAATGATTATAAATGTAAGGAGCATCTCTCTGACTTTCAGTAGGGCCAGCTGTGACAAGACAAGGGGTAATGGTTTTAAACTGAACCAGGGTAGGTTTAGACTAGATATAAGGAAGAAATTCTCTACAATGAGGGTGGTGAAACCCTGGCAGGGGTTGCCCCGAGAGGGGGTGGAGGCCCCATCCCTGGGAGCATTCAAGGCCAGGTTGGACAGGGCTGTGAGCAACCTGATCTAGTTAGCAGTGTCCCTGCTCCTGCAGGGGGGTTGGACTAGGTGACCTCTAGGGGTCCTTTCCAACCCAAAACATTCTGTGATTCTATGACTTGAATCCACAACATCTGAGGACAGAAGACGCTAGCCCAAGAAGATTCCCACATATTAAATCTTATGGATCAAGGCTTAACATCTAGTTAGACAAAACCAAAGTCTTGTAGTTCGAAATGTCATCTCAGGACAAGTTCTCATTGTGCTAGAGTAACAAGACCTCTTGTGTGGAAACTCTCAGGAAGACAGTACTAGAAAGCCTCCAATCTGCCTAAGCAACAAATGGCAGTAATGAAAATCATTAAAAAATCACATTAGAGTATGTTAAGTGACTGGCACTTCTGACTCAGAGAACTGGTAATACCCTGTTCTTGTTCTGCTGCCTCTCACTACTGCACTAATTTAAGTATCATCCTAGCTTCTAATGCGTTTGTAGTCCCCTCAAGAGATGTCCATCTGAACCCCACCGATGGGAACAAGTTGTTGTCTCCTCAAGTAATACTGGAAGTTTCATGGGTAAACAGGCTGTTCCCATACAGACCAGCCCGTACTCCAGCTTCTAGCAAGGGCTTAATAACCACAGCAGAGTTCACAACCGTGTCCTGACCAAAGCTTTGTTACCCCTTCTGACACCAGGACACCAAGCCCACCAAACCCAGTTGCATCTTACCCCGGGCACGGCTGGCCATAATCAGCCAGCGGCTGAGGATGCTCCTTTCTCTCTGCCCCCCCTGAATCCACCACAATGAGAGACTGGGACAAACTCCTCTCATCCTGCAGCGCTGCCGACATCGAGTCCACTGAGCAGTTGCTCACGATGCTGGACCGGGATGAAATCTCACTGTGACTGGAGTCCGAGAAGTTATCAGATTTAGTGGAAGGTATGAGGGCATAGCCTAAAGGAGTGGAGAAGAAAACGTCTTGGTCAAAGAGCAATTCGAGTTTACTAGGTACGACAACAAAGTATAGACACACACATTTCAGCAAGGGTATTTAGAATCAAACCCTGTTGACGTACAGTCGGTCCACTGATGTTTTTAGGGCACTAACACTGTTAGCATTTGCCAGCCTCCAGCACTGCAATTTATTAATGCAAGTCTGGCGACACCGACAACCTACCTGCATCTCCACTGCTCTCCAGACCAGAAGATTGAACCTGCATAAACAGGATCAGCCGTTGCAGCATGAATAGCTGGTGGACAGATCAGGTCTTTCCGACTCTGCAAGCACCAAGTCCTCTAGTATAAATGCAGTGCATTTCCCACTATCCCTCTGCCCTACTGTCATGTGAGGCTCAAAAAAGATTTTGGCAGTGGATGAGGAGGTGCTGACTAAGGTAAAAGCCAGCTATTAGCACTCGGGGATTAGCCATATGGTCCACTTCAGTTTTATTATCCATTCCAAAATTAACAGAGAAGGAAGCAAAAGCGGGAAACACAACTTTGGCAGGAGCTGGACCAGACACCAGCACTGCTCCCGCAGAAGGGAAACAGCTGAAGACCTCACCAGATTCAGAACAAAACATATAAAGCATTTCTGCTCAGCTTACCCTTACCCTCAAATAACTTGTTTCAAACACAAATAATGTATATAGCCCCATATATCCAACACCCCCTTTTCCTAGTACCTGGAGCAAACATAAAAGAGGGGACTGCACTGGGGACTTCCATGGGCTCTGGCTACGTACATCCTGTAGACACTTCTACTGATAAGGCTAAAGTGATTCCAGATGGGAGACCTGTCCCCAGACTGCCTCAGAAAAAGCCCTTAATATGAACAACTTGCCTAAATCATTTGTTTTGATGACCTTAGAGACTCAGCAAAGAATTGAAAAGAACTGAACTCAGCAAAGTGCATCTGGGCTGGTCTGAGGGAAACCACACTCCCAGGTCCTTTGGGTTTAGTGACTGGTCTCCCTCCACACAGCGCAACCTGAACGTTGAACCATGTATCTAAGAGCATTGTCTGAATGCTTCTGGAACACCGACAGACTCGGGGCCACGACCACTTCCCTAGGAAGCCTGTTCCAGTTCTTGTCCAGCCCTTCAGTAAAGAACTTCTTCCCTAATAACTAATCTGAAATTCCAGCTTTAAGCCATTCCCAGGCATCCTATCGCCATACACCAGAGACAAGAGATCAGCACCTCCCTCTCCACTCCCCCTCGTGAAGTTGCAGACAGCAATGCCCACAGCCTTCAGTCTCCTCTGCTCTAAGCTGAACAGACCAAGTGACCGCAGCCGCTCCTCTGAAGTCAGGCCCTCTAGTCCTCTCACCATCTTTGTTGCTCTCCTTTGGACACACTCCAGTATTTTCATATCCTCCGCCTACAGTGGAGCCCAAAGCTGCACACAGCACTTGAGGTAAGGCCGTGTCAGAACTGAATACAGCACGACAATCTCTTCTTTCAACCAGTTTGCTACGCTGTGCTTAATGCACCCAGGATATGGGTGGCCCTTTTAGCACTCGGGGCACATTATTGACCCATACTGATCCTCCCATCCACCAAAACCCCCAGATCCCTTTTCCGCAGGTCTGCACTCCAGCCTCTTGCCCCCTGGTCTACACATACGTCCAGAATTACACTGTCCCAGGTGCAGAATCCAGCATTTGTTCTTGTTGTATTTCATAGAGTCGGTGACTGCTCAGCACTCTCATCTATCAAGATCTCTCTGTAAGGCCTCTCTACCCTGGAAGGAATTAACGACTCCTCCTAATTTAGCATTGTCAGCAAGCTTACTTGTGTGCACTCAACTCCCTGTGTCCAGGTCATCAATAAAAAAAGAAGTTGAAGAGCACTGGTCCTAAAATGGAGTCCTGGGTAGCACCAGCAGTGACTGGCCATCAGCTCCTTTGGACTGACCCTTCAAGCCAATTGTTCACCCACAATATTGTATCCATGCTGGACATTTTGTCCAGAAGGATACTGTGAGAGACAGTAGCAAAAACTCTGCTAAAATCCCAAACACCCACATCTGCTGCCTTCCCTTTGCCTTTGAGGTGGGTAATCTTGTCTCAAAAGGATATTTAAGTTAGTAAGACATGACCTTCCCTTCATAGCCCCATGTTGGCTCTGAATCATGACCACATTGTCTTTCAAGCATTTTTCAGTAACTCCCAGAATAATCTTCTCCATCATTTTACCTGGCACTGAAGTGAGACTGACAGGCTTACAATTACCGGGGTCTTCTTTCTTGACTTCCTTGAAAACTGGGATAACGTTTGCTAGCTTCCAGTTGACTGGGACCTTCTCCAGAGTCCCAAGACCACTGATAAATAACTGTGAGAGGTCTCACAATAACATCAGCTGACTCTTTCAGTACCCCAGGATGAATCCTGTCAGGCCCCATAGACTTGTGTGCCTTCAGCTGCAGCAGCAAATTCAGGATATTCAGATTTCAAGCTCTCTGGAGTATTCATCTCTTTACCTAAGCCCATGCACCATCTTATGGGCAGACCAAAGTTCATTCTCTTGTGTGGCCAGGCAACAAAATCAGGAGGTGTCTGTTAAACTGGTTTGTTTTTTAAATAAAAAAAACCCCAAATATTTTGCCTCCAGTAACTCTTCTGGCCCACAGTTGTGGGTTGTTCCCCTTTATCTGAGGACAAAAGGTCTTGGATTAATGACTGTGGCGGTGTTTGGGGTTTTTTTATTAAATATTTTTTTTTTTCTTTAAGTTCCCAGTGGGTATCTCTATAGAAAATCCACTGCACATCAGGAAATATACCCCTGCCTCCACTAGGCGACCACAGGCTACGATATGCTTTACATCATGTGCAAAAAATTACAAAATTAGAACTTTATTTGAAAATACTGGATCATCAACTGCTTCATGTACAGGTAAGCGAGCATCTGTAAGTGTATCAAAACATGGGTCTTTCTTTACAAGAGACACTACTGTTGACACAGTCCTCAGATAAACACTTCTTCCCAAATTTCTGCCAATCACTCGATTTCTCACTTCACTTCTACCTACACGTGCCTTTGAGCTGGACTGCCAGGTATTTACATCAATTAGGTGAAAATGTGAGATGACCAGGCAGTGTGAAAGCCACGATGCCAGTGATGCACACAACTCAAAACACAAGGCTGATGTCATTAAGTCTGTAAAAAATACAGAGGTCACCTAGCACGGCATCTGGAGCCACTGGTGTACAGGCCACTGAGCATACAGCTCGTAATTCGGGAGATCTCACTACTTAAGCTTGATTATTGCTGTAAGAGCAAATATGAGCATTAAATATCAATATTATCAAACTAAAGAACTGAACCTTATGACTGGAAAAAACCCTGCACTTGAGACTAGCATTTTTAAGATTAAATTTCAGTTTCCTTTCCTTTGACAATAATTAATACCTCATATTCTTTACTTTGTCTAACGGACTCTTTAAAATTAACACAACTGTACTGCAGTAAGAAACGTTCTCACAGTACATCTTAAGACACTCTTCTTCAAGAACTTCAAAGATCTGGAGAGCAAAAGGACTCCTCTTCATCAAAGAGATTAACACTACCTGAAAGCTGAGTCATTAAACAACAGCACATGTCCATAAACAGAATAAATGCAAGTCTTCGCTGGGCTGAAAAGGTTACCAGATGTGACCAATGCAAATATACACCAACGCTGGAAGAGAGCGTTCAATTTACGTCATACGAGGGACTATCTAGAGTCTAATGAAGAGAACGTTGCAGAACTTACTGTTTCATTGGCATTTGCAAAACACTGAGTAACAGAACTCCACTGTACCTGTTCCTTGATTTTCTAAACTTCACATTATTGTCTTCACTGCACTGTAAGGGTGATTAGCTATAAATAACTGACACAAATATCTGGAAGGGAAGCACATTACACGGCTTAAACATGTAAATGAATAATGCTAAAATAACTTTGGTAAAATCAGTGTATCTGACAGAAAGTGGACACCATAGTCTTTCTTCTAGAAATACATCATATAGTCTTCCTTCTCTTCCTAGGCTTCACACACAGGCAGTAAGATGTCCACAGATTGCTGTTGCTATAGATACTTGATGTACTCAGAGCATCACTGTCTTTCTCCTTTTGGTTTTCACTCCCTTCTGAGGCTTCAACGTGCTCTGCTTCCCTTTTTGCAGTAAAAGCTGTTCTTTGCCTGGAGAAGCTTCTTTCCCTAAGTCTTCTAAAGTGGGGTCCCTTCGTTTTCCTGTGCTCACGCTCAGCTTCTGCCTTTCCACTCTCATCCTCTCTTTCTCCCTTTTCCCTCATGTCAGAACCGTCTCTGGCTTTGAAAATAATCATCTGAATTTTCTTTTGTAAGTAAGCCCCACCTATTCCGTAGCTGCGTTGTCCACTGTTCTTGTTGCTGGCTTCACTGGCAAGTGATGAGGAAGAGCCAGAGAGATTCATCTGACTGCAGTTATCCGACCTTTGGATGTTACCAACTACAATAAAGTACACACAGGCAGATCTTCATAAGTGATGAGATAATGAACAGTGAAAATAACATCCTGATTTTAAAACATTTTTTTCTTCAATCCTATTTCAATATCACTTGGGTGTAGCTCAAAAGAAAATGAAATCTAAGATTAAGTGGAATGTGTTCATGCCTAAAATTATGTCTTTCAGCTGTCTGTGAAGCACCTAATTTTAGTTCAATGAGCTGTTAACACTTCACAATACAACAGGGTATGGATCACCTCAATCAAATTAGATCAGTGCTAAAAGTATGCTGAAAGCAAGTTAATGAAATAACCCCAAAGAAACAAAATATTATTTTCAAAGAACCAGATGAAAGTTAACAAAAATAACATGTTTATAAGCGATGCTGAAAAACCTCCGTGGAGCTAGGTTTGGCAACCCAAGTAATTAAGCTTCTTCTACATATGCTGTGTTTAAGTCAAATAAGTGGCATTCTTCTAAAAGAAACAGTATCTTGTGAAGGCAGAAGTGGGCAGACCAGCATGGCCTCCCACTGAAAAGGGTGAGAAGCAGTAAGTCACCATGCCATGCCATGCTAAATCCAGTGGCTTTGGGCTGCCAGTGAGTCAAAAACAGCACAGAAGGGAAGGAGAAATGCCTTACACCGTTCCACACTGACCACACTGGCTGACTACAAAGTGGTGTTAAGAGATTTCAAATGAATTCCCATCCAAGGTTGACTAATGATGAAGTGATGCGGGCCTTTTAAGACGAAGACATCAAAAATAAAGGGATTCTCAGGGCATCAAGACAGACAGGGATATATACAAAGCCCTGTGCACAAGAACAAAAAATACAAATAGCGACTTGAGGATTTAGATGGATGTACAACTTTTGCAGCTATTAAACCCATCTATTCTGGAGAACTGTGACAGCATTTTATCTCCAGCTCCACCCGATCACCTGATATTCCAGCTACCTTAGGCAAAAACATAAGGTGTCTCAAAAGCTGCAGTTTCTGTGCAATACTGTCATCTTCAAGAAATCCTCAGATTTGCAAATCCCATTCAAATAACTGGCCACCTACATCTGAACTGGTACACTGGCAGGCATCAGCACTTAGGATCTATTGGGAATTCCGCCAGAAGCACTTAGTGGTTTTTAAGAAAACAGTCTTTCCCGGTTTTAAACAGTAGGTGACTTTTAAGGCCAACACACACAAACACATTGGAAAAACTACGTCTCGTCATAGAAAGACACTATTCTATTCTTGACATGAATATTCTAAACTGCTATTTCTCTTACATGTCCTTACAACAAATATTCCTGCCACTGCCAACCCTGGCTTTAGGACAAGACAGGCACGCGTTCCCGAGACGGATGCCGACGTGCACTGTGAATGCTCATGCAGCAGACGTACCTTTGCGGGGAGAGCCCTGAGGAGAAGCAGGTGGGCTGGAGTGCAAAGAAGATGCCATGGACATCGTGTCATCTGTTTGCTTCTTACTACTGACTTCCTCAGACAAGCTTAATGACTTCTGTGGGGAGCCTGTACCTACAAAACAATGGAATAATTTACTGCATATTATTCTTTTTTCAAGTTAGTGATAGCTGTTTAAACTACGGATAAGCACTGTGTTGAACAACACTGCAGTATTCAGCAAGGAGAGGAGCAGATGCTCAGATGCATGTTGCATGTGGAGGCGGCCTCCATCTCAAGTTTTGATCAGATGAGCAGTGACCACTGCTACTACCGGCTGCTCCTCTCGAGTGTGGTGGAACGCCCAGGTCACAACCGGAACCATTGCAACAGATGCACTAGTGGTGGGTTTGGCAAAGGACTGAGAACTGCGTAAGACAAAGCCCGGAGGAAGCCCTTGCCCATGACTGTTGGGACAGCGTTAAAAACAATTTGTGTCATAGCCAACAAGTCAGTTCAAGATCTTCTGAATCATGAGTTCTCAAATCAGGACTCACGGGCACTGTACACAACTCTGCAAGTTTAGCAAGACCGGTGTACCACTGTGCTTTGCAAACTGGTGATCTGGTGGTTCTCATTCACTGTTGGAGCACCTGGCAGAGGACACAGTGCTGAGGAGTCCATTTAAGTTCTCAATAGTTTGTTAGATCAACACTCAACACTGAGCACACAGGAATGAAGAAATACCTCTCAGCAAAGCTTCTGGAACCTATCAAGTTGCACAGGCTTTTAAGAGGAGACTTGAAATAAATACTAACTGCAAATGCTATTCTATATGCTGCAATATATTGTTTTCTGATGTTATTTTTATGGATATTGATACTCGATGTATCATAGAATCATTTCATATTAAGTGCAACTAACCTTATTAAATAAATCCACAATTGTAGCTTTCAAATGATACAACAGTTATGCAAATAGGTCAAAAGCATTTTAATACATAACACTGCTTTGTAACGAGCAAATCTAGAAATAGCAAGAATTGATGCTCACTCGGAGCAACTAATAACATATGTTGTTCCATTTGACAATAATGTTATTCTAATGGTGTTCCAAAGGTTAAAATGTTAAATGCCTCTGATTTGTTTCAATGATTTCACCTAACTATATTACACTTCATTTTGTCATGGAAAGAAACAAGCAATGTTGTTCTGCTCCGTTTGCACAAGATCCCTTCAGAATGCAGAAGTACACAGTAAGACACTGAACACCGTACACCTGACCCGTTCAAGAGAGAGATTAAGATCACTTTAGTTCGAAGGAATTCTTTAGTTCAAGAAAAAAAATGCCTGTACACTTTTCAGGTATGTAGAAAATAAGCCCTGCCACAGAAAGCGCTAAGTTTCAAGTAATAAAACTAAAGCAAGAGCGTATTTGGAGCCAGCACCTTATGATTAGCTGTTTTAAGAAAAGCTATTAAAAATTGTGCAAATGATTAAGTAAATGGCACACCCCCTTCATACGCTTCACCTATTTTCAAGTGAATGAAGTAAATGAAGCGTAACGGTATTGCAAATAACCCACCCAGCTACCAACAGCTTTCCCCCTTAATTTAATACTTAAATTAAGTATTAGGTAAATAATACTTAATTTATAAAACCCTCCAGAGAGGTGAACTGAAGATACTCACTGAATGTGACATGATCCTTCGTCAGTCCCTTTTTCCTACTGGGGTATAAATTCACCGTTGGAACCTGAAGAACTTGACTCATCCTGTTTTGCTGATGCTGATGGGCTTTAGCGGTTTGGCCAATTGATCTCATGGGTACTGGAGACATTTCTGAGGATTTCGCTCCTCTTCTCTCACTTAAATTCTTTGTCACTGTTATGGAAAAAATTGCATATGAAGATCTCGCACTTTGAGTTGCAGGATTATTACAGTCATTCTGAGTACAACCATCCAGACAAAGCAGCCACGGCATGAAGCAGAGAAAACGTATCTGAAACCATTTCTATTCCAAACACACCCACCTTGTTACACTGAAGAGCCTGTTATGTGAAATGGCATTTCAAAACCTAAACTCTTCAAAGTGTCATAGAGGCACTTCATCAAAAGACAAAAAATGCAATTTCTTTCTACCACAGTTGAAGCCCGTACTTCAGATGTTTGTACATAAGGTGCAAAAGCATAACAGCATCTCCTTCAAAATGATGTAATGCCACCGAAGGGAGGCGAAGGAACGGTTGTTTTGCAATTGGCATCAAACCTTTCACTAGGTGGCACAATTGATTTAAAACACAGGGCACTGATTCTGTTTCTACTTTCATCACACAGCAGTTAATAAACTCTGAAGTTAAGGCCATCTGACCTCTCCTTAAATTCCCTTGGAAAAGTCTGGATTGCAGCACTACTGCTGCTCTTTCCTCCCACAAGCAAGGCCAGGAGAATCCTGCTCTTGAGGTAAGAGACTGGGGAGCTGCACCTCCTGCTTTTCTGGCTGTGTGCAAAAAAAAAGAAAAAAAAAAAAACCAAAACCCAACACAAACCATCGGCACAAAACCAATCTGCAAAACCATGCGCCAGGCTCCCTGACTCAAAGCTACGTGGTCAAAACACTTAAATGTGGGTAAACACACCAGGTGTGGAGGAACTCCCTGGGGAGCGGCTCAGGGCTCCCACTCCCTCGGAATACAAACCACGAGGGGGCTGGCCGTTCCCCCGCGCTCCGCATCCCTCCCCATCTCTTCTGCTAGCTCTGCAGACTAGGAGTCTAATCTCAACCAGATCAATTACCTGTGGTTTTGGGGTTTGGGGTTTTTTTCCTCCATTTTTAAAAAATAGATACTTTAGTAATATGCCACTCTAGAATTTGTATATCCACTTTCCCTTGTTGAAGTTTAAGATAAAAAGGACTTGATTTGCTTAACTAACAGGGAGTAAAAACAGTAAGCATATATTCCCTATTTTTACTCCCAATTACCTACAGGCTACCCCTGTGCAAAAAATATTTTAAATTATTTATTTAGAACTACTGAAAAGCAACCTCATAATATTGATGTCTGTCTCCCAGGCATGGTGTGACCCCCTGTTATGTTTGCACATAGATCATCTATCAAGAGCTCATCCCAGCGTGCTTTAATTTATTATTTTGGGGGTGGGGGTGGTGGAATTAAAGCATAAAACCCACAATGGTGTCACCTCGAAGTAGAAACATTCTGTGCTGTTACGTATCTGGCTGAACACAGCACAAGCAGAACACCTCTGCTCGCAGTGTATGAGGCCACGTGTATTTCTATTCAGAGCTACCTGTGATTTCTGGTGACCTCAGGTACAAGGCCAGTGTGAATACACAGAATTTAACATTTTAAAAAAGGGAGTCAACTATGGCCATTTCCAGGATTCCTACATCAGTCCTATTTAAAAGGAAATGTTAAAAAAAATTCATAAAAAGGCACCTTAAGAAAAAACACGGATTTGCATTCTTAATACTGAATAATGGAAAGGGCTTAACATTTTATCTTTGAGATGCCATCTCCTAGTCATGCTTTTAACTTCCCTCATCAGGGACAAAATGGTATTTGAGGACAAAAAAAAAAAAGTCTTAAAATGCTGCATTTGGACAACAGGTAAGCCCAAAACATTATTTCAATCAGCATTTTGAAACAAACCCACCTTTCAAGCAAGGGAAAATTTCTAAGGATCAAAATAAAATGCAATTACTATTTCTCACTTCTAAATAAGAATTTACTGAACTGTAAGACAGCAGGTCAGGTAACAGTTTGTTTACTTAGACAGTTGCACAGGAGCTCAAATTATGAAAACTGTCCTGCTGTAGCCCTCAATTTTTGACTGTCAAGCCATGTCAATCCCATCAGTCAATACTGACCTAACTTCTCCTTCTCCACAATCTTTGTTTAGCCTAAGCTGTAATCCATTGCAGTTTCTATATTGATTTTGTCTCTTTTCATTTTCTCGCTGTTCATATGGTAAGCGTTACTTTTATCCTTCCTAATTCTGTACAAGGACAGGAGGGCAAGAATAGAGCTAATGTACTATCGAATTTCCTTCCAGACTGATGAAAAGACAGTTTAAGAACTACAGGTCAAAATAGAAAACATCACTGACATTTTCTGAGCTCAACCAAGATCAGAAGACAAATGCCGGTGTGCTGAAACTGTTAGTACATGAATCGACAAACAAGCACTGGAGTTTTTTTTCTTGAAGGGAGAAGAGAAAGATCTTACATGAGTATTTCTAGGGAAGGAACAAGGTTTTTATAAATTTTATGGAGCACGCCACCATTCTGAGATCACTGTACTTACGAGTGCTATAGGCAGGCTCACACTGAAGTGACAATATTTGGATCTTTTCTTCATCTGTCTCTACATTCAGGTTGGACAGGTACTGCTTCACCTTCCTCGCCATCTGGGCATCCTCGTACAGCTTCTTGGCGTTCAGGAGTGAGCTGCGTCGGGCGCGTTTTTTGTGAGCGCCTCCCTGTACATCCAGCATGTTCGAGTTTGTGCTGCCCTGACTCAGAGATCTAGAAAAGAAAAGAGCAAAGCAGTAAATTTTTAGTTCTCGACAGCACTGAGGAGCTGCAGTAGCACACGCCAAAGCAGATTAATACCAATAATCTTCAGTTAGGGCTAGTGCATGCTGATGCAAATGAGTTAAAAAGATGAACAGCATTAAAACAACACTTGTCTGAAAATATTCTGGTAAATTGAGAGCAGCAACTTGAGTCTAGAAAAGGGCTGCGTATGAAAGTGGGGAAATAGCAAGAATGAGGCGCAATGCTGCGTAAAGTACCCAGCTAGCTCTGCTAACGACTCGCAGTCTTGTTCCGCAAAACCCACGCTATTTCAACCGCATAAGAGCGGACAAACTTGATTAACTTTTTTTTTTGTTAAGGCATTTGACACCCACTCTTTGCATCAGGCTTACAACAGAAACTTCTTGCAATTCAGCTGAGTACAGAAGTGAGCGACTACTGTAATCCTCTTAGAAAAATGAGCTTCTGACAGTGTTTAAATCGGAGGAAAAATTATGTTAAATATGCAAAGTACATTATATTACACACTTAACTTCTTTCTCCACTTAAGTAAAAACATTCACAGAAGAGCAACTCATTAAAAAAAGCGTATCCCAACAAAGGTCAGGAAGGCAGCGCTAACATACACGTGCCCAGCCTCGTACAGACTTGCATCTACGCAAGACGACGCTCCTCAACATTCCTGATTTTGAGCTGCCGATTCTGTCAGCAACCGAAGCAAAAATAAATAATCCCTAAACGGTTCAGGTACAGACGGTCACTGATCTTGGTATAGCTCAAATATACGCATCACCTCTGTTTCAACTGTCCGAAGTCCTATGGTCACACCAGTCCCAATCCATTTTGTGATAAATGGAGACCATGGTACGTGTTACATGTAAATTTTAATAGAAAGTGTCGATGAAGTTGTTTGAAGTTGGTTGGTTGTGGGGTTTTTTTTTTAGACATTCAGAGGAATAGCTGTATTTTAAAAGGCTAAATTACTTGTAAAGATGTTTATCAAGATCTTGGGTGTGTTTACAGAATCACAAGTGGCAAAATAAACAATGTCCAGCACAGAAGAGCCATACAGAGAGTCAGAACGAAGCATATTGTTTGAGGAAGCCTAAGGAATTGAGCACACTGAGCATAAAAAAAAAAGAAATGGTGCGAAACAGCTGAGTGCAATCTTTTCAAGATGTTAAATCAATCAAAGAGAAAATATAAGCTTAAAAACTGGCAGAAATTTATAGCTTAATTAAATAAAAAAGTAATGCTATTGTAGGCAAAGAGCAGCAAAAGGCACGATGGCCCGTTCACACCTATGCGAGCCAAGGGGGCACTCCGATCTCCTACGGGTCCCAGCAAACCTAGGACCTATTACATAATGAAACTGGAAACTATACTTATGTTTATGTTTAATAATACAAATATTTTATTGCTTATGTATACACTGTCCTTCTTTTAAGTCTGAAATTGACTTTTTAAGGCAATTTAATTCAATTTCCTTTAAAAATGTTTTTTCCTTATTTACTTGTGTTCATAGTAATCCCAAGGGTCAGAAATTATGGTGGCTCCAGTTGGGTCCTAGGGATTTCTTCCCGTGAGCCGCTCTGTGAGCGGCCGATTACTGAGCACCGAACGCTGCCAGCCAAGCTCTCCTGCACCAAGGGCATCCACACGTTGCTCATTTCACACCAGTGACCAGTACCCAAACCTGCTCTGCCCAGTTTGTCTAGCACAAGCCCTGGCACTGGCCCCATCACTGCTGGCATGGGTAAATCCGTTCTCTGCACAGCAGTGCCTGGATCCTCTTTGCTGACGAATCGCGTTGCCACACCAGGCTTCCTCTGCGACTTGCAAAGGGATTTTGGGGAGGGCAAAGCACCGTGAGCATTTCTGCCTCCATCCTCTATGCAAAATGTTGACATACTAACATATAGCTGGCTTTAAACCAGATGCCCACAGTATGGAAAGAAGCAGAGTTTCAAAATGCAAAGGCACATAGGCTCAGGTACACAGAGTTTATGGGCAAAAATACAAAGAAGAACACATAAAATATGGCTACAACATGACTGCCATGTGTCAGTCAGGAATTTCACTAGCCAGTCTTAGTACTCTCATTTGTAGTCACTTCATTATTCAGTCCTTGCACAACCAAGACTCCCAGTGAAATCAATGAGGATTTTGGTGCATGAAATGTGAGATGCATTTTGAATACATACTAAAAATAAAGACTTCAAAGCTTGAACTCAGACTTCAGGGGGGAAATTACTGTATCATTTTCACAATTCAAAGTGTTCCTATAGTTTAAAAAGCAGAATGGCTTAAACTTTTCTGTTAAATGTTAAAAAGCAAATAATCTCTTTCCCAAAATAGTTTGCCTTCCAATATAACTGCACAGCAGGTTTTTTGAATGCATAAAGCCAAAACTCAAAACAACTTATCTAGTACACAAAAGCAACTCAGAATTTTTATAGCTGTAGTACAACGTTGACTGTAACCCCTTATTCCTGTTTTCCAAAAAATATGTATTGCAGGGTTAATAAAATGCATGCTGTATTTCAGATGCATGCACTAACGAGGAGGATGCAGTATGTTAAGAGTTGCATAATCCTTATTTATCTTAGTTGCATTCATCTCTACACTTACCCCAAACTTCTCCACCTCTTCTTCCTGTAAGCAAGAGCCATATACATTGAAGCATGTATTTGAACAGAAAAGCACAGGAAAAAAAATAAAACAGTTGAGAGTCAGGAAGAAAGATGTAGACAGGAAAGAACAGAAAAGAAAAAATTTCTATACAGCAAAATTCTTCTCAAACAATAACACAATGTTTTCATGGAATGCAAGGGCAGGACTTGAGCAAATACTTTATGGAAGAGCATCTATCAGTTTTTTGTTGAAGTTTAACCTATGAATTTAAAAACCAAAATTGCATTAAATTTTCTTGTTAAGTATTTCCCACAAGTCAAATTCAATTTTGATGGAGCAAGTGAAAACTGTTTAACTTCTTCAGATTGCAGAAGTGTGATTCAATAAATTTATTCTTTGCATTAGGACTGCAGTAAGCGCATGAGAAATCACACCATCAGTATTCAGAAGTTTATGTTGCTTTCTCTTGATTGCTTGCTGGGCAACAAGCTAGTTGCCAAATACATGCTCAAGAACCAGATGCTAGTCATGAACTTGCTAGCGAGTCTCCTGTTACCGCTAACAAACACCTTTTCTTGTTAATTTTTAATCTTCAAAAGCATTTATTGGTGCTTCGTAACACAAACTGATAGATCAAACACCAGAGGCAATGAAAATGAATATAAATTATGTGCAAACATGGAATTATTTTCTTTTAATCTTTGGCATGGTCTCTAAGATTAGATGCCTAAGCATTTTATGTCAGTGTGCACAATTTAAATTATGGTCATTAAAATGTGTTCTGTAGTTCTGAAAAACATACTAAAGGTAACTGTTTACTACTCAATTAATTTAATGATTAGACCTCATTAGGTCTTAGAAAGCGCACGGGGCATCAAGGAAATTTATTTATAGACTGATTTCATCTGTGAACGCCAAAGCTTCTGAAAAGCAATCACAGCTTAACAGCAAGTGGCTTTATAACTTTATGTTCAAAAGGAAGTTTTGCTAATTCAAATCCCATAGCATGAAGGTGAATCTCCACTCTGAAACAAATCCATCTTTAAACTACATTAACAAGGGATCTGTTGTTTTTATCTCAAGCCTTGATTGATCCAACGTTAAACAAAATACTTCTGTTTCCTGATAGTCAGCCTTGAAAACAAAAACCAGACAGGATTCATGATCATCTGCGAATCCTGACCACTGGAAGACCACAGGGAACCAAATCTCTATGCTATTATATACGCTACATATCCTTGCATATGCTGCTTCCTTCCAGCGCACAGACCTCGCTGAACTCCTCAATCGCAGCCAGTTACAGCTGCACGGGTGACCTATCCACTGGAGTTTAGCCAGGGCTTGTACAACGCACGCTTCACCCAAGCATCTGCCCACTGAGCTTCCTCTGTGCTCTGCTCACCCCAGGGTGTTCGGAGAGCGCTCTGCTGCTGGCCAGACACTGCCAGGGATACACACACAGCAGGCGACTCGAAGGACTATTCTCACAGGTTTTGAAGTGGAAATCGTGTAATGATTCAGCACAGGACATCACCTCACCACCAACTCCCCACCTGAACTGCATCCTGAGGGGTTTTTGTCTGGCCCATTAGCTTGAGAGGCAAACAGTGCAAGGGAAGGAGAACAAAACCCTTCTTGGCAGGGATCTACAGGCATCAGGACCCTGCGCGGACAACAGTGGAGTCACTGATGCTTTTGGTTCAGCCAGTGGGAAGCAAACAGATGCAGGAAATTATTTCGTTACACTAAATATAATCTGGAGCTAATCAGCACCAGATCAGAAATCGTGGTGCTTTTATTCTGCAGTTTGTTAACACAGAGCCTGGCATTATTATGCATCAGGAAGAAAAAAAGAAAACAATAAAACACCCCCTCCACCTGCTTAGAGCCTGAACGTGTTGAGCATTACGTAGGCAGAGCAAGCTGTGTTTAGAACAAATAAAAAATATTTTGTTTGTTTTCAGTATGTTATCAGTGGCGTTTTCTTTTGAAGCAACATTTCAGATTTATACATGGGTGATTAGGAGCTCTTTTATATATATATGATTTCCTCCCTACTATTATACCTCTTCCAAAACTCTACTGATACTAACATTTCATTTAGCAAAAATATGAATCCTTAAAATTAGAACCTATTTTTTTTTTCCTTTGATAAGGCAACCAATTGGTTTGGTAGTCATTAAAAGCAGGTCTTGGAAGCATCGACTATATTGCCATAATCTGATAAAGACTGCGGTTCTGATGGTAAATGTCAATGGGACGTTACACAATGAAACATTAACGTACTGATGCACACACAAACCCAGACCCCTACCCACTCTGAGACACCTCCAATCCTACTGTCTTTCTAAATTGCACACCTTTGTCTGAACATTACAGCCGGATCCATGTTTGCAGAGGTCATCCTGACAACTTGGCGAATTTCTTTGGCAATCATTCTGAGTTTCTCAAAATTTACCAGGCCATCCACCTTAGAATCATTCCCTGCATAATTGAAACACACACACACATAGAAAAAAAAGATAGTAAGAAATACTTTTCTAATGGGCAATGTGTTCCTAAGTCCCCCACATCACCCTTCCTCCCTCCCTGCCCCTCCCTCAACAAAACTGCTTTAATCAAAATAGCAAGAAAACAGGAAACTCTGGAAAAAAAACAAATCACAATCAGGCCCACTCAGCCTCCCCAGCATTGCTCTTGTTAATCTATTTCTAAAGGAACAAGTGTTAGTAGGAGGAGAAAGGAGTAAGCGAACTATGCCCAAATCCCTTGGCATAGACGTTAAAATAATATAAATATAGAACTGACATCAAGAGCGTTCACATTCTGAAATTAGTTCAAGTAGTTCTGAAACACCACAACCAAGAATTGGGCATATTTGGAAATGCTTAACACCTTAATTGTGAACAGAACTTTGTGTAAAAGGAAAAAAAAAGGAAATGTTTAATCAAAACCCCTTGAAAACGCTGAAAGCAAGAGTAGGAGGAGTGTTAATATCATCATAGCTGTCTGAAAGCCACAACATGGAACAAAAACCTACAAACAACGCAGCAACAAGTTTTTGTAAGAGAATTATATTTGAAGTAGTGCAACTACCAGTTAGCACACTCACCTACGCTTCCACCCTAAACGTTAGGACAGCTGATGAAGATTAAGCATTGCTTTTAAAATATTAAAAAATATGCATTTAGTTTTTAATTTTTGTCGAGGATCAGGCTCTTCCATTATGCATTCAGAGTTCTATTTTATTTTACTCCTACAAAGGATGCATCAAAAGCATCCTACTGGTGGCAGCTTCTTTTAGACGTTTGTTGAATCAGAGCCCTGAAGAAAGGGCTAAAGCATATTCAACGCTTGGTTTCTTACTTCTCTATCTTTGACATTACCTTCATGCAGAAACGTGATATCCTTCTTGACAACAGGAAAAAGTGGAATAATTGGAGGCTGCATGCTCTGGCTGCTAAGGATGTTGCGGTATTTTGCCATGTTTCGAGATGGATCAAAAAGATCTTGAAGGTCTCTGAGGTGCTTCTCATACTTGCTCGGTAACTTCTCCCAAGTGCCTCTGAGACGCGCCACTGGTGCCAGGTTTAACCCACTGTAAGGCAGATACATTTCATTACTAGCTGTTAGTGGAATCATTACCTTTCATACGGAAGGAAAAGGGTTGGGGTTTTGGTTTAAGGCTTAAAAATAGCTTTCACAAGGTTAACGGCAAAGCTGGCTGAACGCCAGGCTGCAAGTTCATCACAATAAACCTCTGCTGCTCACTCTTGTGAGCGTGTGAAAAAGAGAACTGTAAGAAGCATGACCGCTTCCTATTCAAAAGGTACAAGTTCCACGTCAGCCTGCCAAAACAATCTCTCTGTCACACAGTCCTGATGCCCATTCAATTGAAGAACCACTTCTCTCCTGTAAAACTGTATACCACAGTAAGGACAAAAAGGGTGAAAAATTAACGAGGTGAATTCACGGCTACGGTGGGAAGTGGGAACGGCGCACAGCTTATCCCAAGCAAAAGTGGTGGGACTGAGGAGCAGTATGTTTGGAGCATTTGTAAACAAGCACCAACAGACTGAGAATTAGAAGCAGCAGATACACCAAAAGCTGCTATTGTACCTTCAAGTCTCATCAATATACACAGAATTACCTGGATGCAATAAAAAAACAACTTCTAAAAATTAAATATATCCATCCTCCCTATCACAGTTGGTCACCATCTTTGCTAAAGAAATTTTGCAATGACTCCAAAGTCCTGGTAGCTGCAGAGCTGGAAAGTGATATTCTCCACAATTCATTAGTAAATCCAGAATCATACAATTACTGAATCTGCTATTCTAAGAAGATTTTTTTTCTCATTTTGAAAGCTTCAAAAACTTATCTTTTTTTTTTTTATATACATTTCTCTCCATGCTATGTCAAACCACAAAGAAAGCCTTCTCTCATGAAAAATCAGATATATGCCACCGCACAGCTTCTCTTTTACATGCTACATTAGGATGGTTATCTTCCTATTTCATGAACCATATGGCATCCAACTGACATGCAAGGCAAAGCAGGAAAGAGAACCTCTGTGGCATATACTAACAAAAACATATTCCTCTTGAAAGAAGGGTAAAACAAAAGCTAATTTATTTGCTTTTTTTGACCAAAGACCACTTCGGTCATGGCCTGATTAGACTTAACTGAGAAGCAGAAGAGTCATTTCTCCACCTACAACAAACCAGGAGAAATTAGGGAGCAGAGTATAGAAATTAGATTCAGCATCCACATGTGCATTCACCATGTAATGAGTAGCCACAGCCCCAACGGTTGCCCAGTACCCTTTAAGGAAATTCATTAATTCTTTAATGTATGGCTAAACCGAAGCCAATACCATTTGATAAACTGGTTAGACATGGAAGAAAATATTTTAAAATGTATTTTCAAAGATAGTGCTGGTATACAGCATGAATCCAGATCTTTGTCTGATGAATCACAGTGCCTTTTTTTTTTTTTTTTTTTTTTGTTAAGTAAAACCTGGGTATAAAAAAATCGCAAATAAAAGAAAATGCTGAACTCATGCTGTTAAAGTAACAGCATCTAGTATAAATCAGAAGAGAAAGTCTAAATGTGCAAATGAAGAGAAAAAAAATAGGGAAGCAAGCAGATGACAGGAAAGACTGAAAAGGAAAATTAAACTAAAACAAGACTGACTGAGGAAGTCCTTACAATGAAAGGAAGAAATAAAGTAATCTCATCATCAGAGATATGACTCAGTGCACACTGAAAAAGTAACAGCGACTGAAAAAAGAAGGGGAACTGGGTGCCAGAATCACAGAAAATGACAGCAATGTTCAGGCAGGTTTCTGAAGTTCATCATTAAAACAG